ACATCCATCTTAACAGACGCATCTCAGCCATGCAATCTCCTTTCATCCGCAACTTTGGTGGCCCAGCATTCAGATCCATACAATACGACAGGTCTTATGATGGACTTGTAGATCTGTCTCTTAACCTTGAGAGGTATTCTTGGATCACAAGTCACACCGGTACCCTGTCGCCATTTCATCCAACCTGCATTTATTCGGCTTTTCACGTCCCTGTCAACGCCAAATTCAATTTACATATCAGCCTCCTAAACTCAACTGAGTATAAGCAAATATTAGTACAAATTTTGCTTTTTATTATGTTTAATTATCCCTATTTTCAGAATGAATGAAGTCCTTTAAAACGTCGATTGCAATATACAATAGCTTTTTTTAAAAGTATTTATTACGACGCGTTCAACATAGTCAATTTAAACATTGTTTTTAAAGAAATAAATTTTTGCTCTTTTTCAGGTAAATGTCTTCGATACGGATGTGTGTTAAACTCTGCTGTAAATGTCATTTGTAATTAGTAAAACTAAGATATCTGGTCCGGTGATAGGCGCTGCATCACATTTAGTTTCTTTTTAATATTATCGTGAGGCCAATGGAAAATGACCTCTGCCCATAAACATCCGCAATTGCAGATGCAAAATAAATCTTGTGTGGATAAAAGAAAGGTAAATGCTAATGAGTTGTCATAGTTTAGTTTGGCCACCGAGCCAGTTAACTTCGCCTGACAATCAACAGATAATGTAATTATAACGTAAGTGTTAAGTGAACATAAAAAAACTATATTTTGTGGTCTAAATTTTATGTGAATTAAATAGGGACATGTTGAAATTTAAACACAGGTTGGATCAAGATATTATTACAAAGAGTTTGATTTTTCAGTAGTTATTGTTCAGAAATTATTTTTAATTAAATGTAGATCTAACAATTTTTTATAATCTGTGATTCTGAAATACAGATAATGAACGCACAACAAAGAAATCTATTTCTTGCTTGATGCACCAACATTGTACACAATTGCAACTGAAATAAATGCAATAATATTAATAAATTGCTTTTAAAATATAACAAGCAGTAGAAAACTTGTAAAAAACATCTATACGAATCAATATTTTTCTACTTATATCCTTGATTGACTTATATCCTTATAATGTTAATCGAGAGAAATTCGCTTTATGGCAATGAATTCGCTTATTAAATGTAAATTGTGGTCTGTAATAAAATAAAGAGTGAGAAAAAGCTTTACTTGCTAATTCAATGATTGTGTTTTATTTGTAACTTCAAGTAGAAATGATTGCTATATAGGTAGGCTATGTTGCTTGTCTAGTAAGTGTCTAGTAAGTATATCTAAGTGAAATTTTACGGAAATGAGTTTATTTAGACATTGCACAGATAGAAAATATCATTTATAGTCTATGGATTTAATTTAAGAACTTCTCAGTGTTGTTTTTGATGCAGACAAATGTAAAATTGTTAAATAATTTTTTATATTTTCTCATTTCTATTGTATAATAAATTAAAACTTTGATTAAGAAATGAAATAAAAATTATGTGATTTTTTTTATTAATTTTAGGTCTGCTAAGAAACGTTACGTCAACATGCTTGGTTTTTTTATCTGTATAAATATTGGGAATAAAGCATTTGTTTAGAAATTGCCTTTTCATTTTATTTGTTTTTTAAAGCATAAATAAAAATACACATGAAGCTGTTTAAATAATTTTATTTTAGTATCAATAACAGAAATTACATTTAATTTACACTTTATTATTCATAAAAACCAGTTTTTTCTAATTAGCATAAAAAGATAAATAAAAGCCCTAACCTAGTTTAGTTTTTTTATAATTATGAGGTTTTTGAATATATACTAGATTACGTTAAATATTACATTGCAAAAAGAGGGCGTTTAGCTTATTTAGTTATTCTAATCATATCTATAAAAATGATTCTTTTCTTATCCAAAAAAAAAGAAACAAACGTTATTCATAATTTAAAAAGAGTGTTTTTCAGTTGTTTGGTTTTGAATATTTTTATGTTACTTTTACAAACAAAAGTTGTATTTCACGTGATGGGATTATACTTTTTTATTTAATTATCTATATAATCGTCTATCAAAACTACTAACTTACATCGTAAGACAAATGTTTCGATCTTTTCATATATTTTTGCCGTGATAAAGTATAATAAATTGAGGAACACTGTCTGCACTCACGAAGCATCACTCATTGTCACTTCCTAAACAGAGCGTGCGAGCGAGAGCACAGAACAAACGATAGAGGCACGATCGGCCTTAGCATTCGGCTTGTGACGTCATCACAGTAAATTGCAGACAACCAATGTTTCTTTTAATTATAAATTAGTGGCAGATTTAAAGATATTTTTGCTATATCTAAACGTGCGTTTTTGGCATATGTACAAGAGATTGTTATACATTGGCATTTGGAAATAAAAATCACTTTAAATCCACCACAAATTTAATACAAAAGCTGAACTTTGTAGGTAACAAAAATTCTGGCTGAAGTAATAAGATGAAGTTACAAAAAGAAATGTTTATTAAAATTGAAATCTGAAGAATAATATTATTATACGGTTCATATACATTGTACATAATACATTGTCGTTAAACATGAACCACTATACATAGTATATCTATCATGTAAACAAGATTAGTTATTTATCCAACAAAGTTTACAATCAGTCTAACGAATATGTTAGCAAAATCAGAAGACAAAAACATCTAAATGTGGTCTATAGCATCACTACAGACGGACTAGCTTCTACACATCTCCATATATAAGACGGGTACATACACATTTCATACATTTCCCACACAAGGCCATAATAAAATAAAACCATATTTACATATTGAAACGTTTATTTATACACATCATCAAATATACCCGTCTAGAAATGAAACAACGACTAATGACTATAAATTTATTTGTTCATTAAGTTATATATTATTTGTTTTTTTTTT